GCGTTCCTCTCCCCTGCCCGCCGGCTGCTGGGGCGCAGCGGGCCGCACCCTGGTTACCGGCTCCCGCCACGGGCGGTAGCGAATGGAGCTCAGGGGACGAGTGCATGTCATTGCCCTTCAGCTGAGGGGACAGTTGACATGGGCCTGGCAGGAGAATAAAGTCGCCTAAAGACCACTCAGCCGCTCCTTCTGCACCAAGTCACGCGCAGTATTAGCTGTCACACTGTTTAAAGACCTGGCGAGACATCATAATTTCTTGAATTCTCTCCCGCTGTTAGGTCTCCATTTTCTAAAAATGGTTACTTAACACACAGTGTTGCCCAGCACTAGTTTTAAAGGCCGGCGTTTCAGAGTTTATTTGGGAATATTGTACCAGGCGGTGATTCTTGCTGGCAAGAAAATTCTCGGTATTTTTTTCCTTAACGAGACTTGTCTTTCTGAAAATTATTCCTTTTCTACTTTACTTTCTGTATTGTGCCAACTAAAATTTGTTATATTTTACCAGGTTGTAGACATAAAGGCAGCCTCCATTAAGCATCATTTATCTAATATTTTGGTTTTTTCCTCATTTATTTCTCCTAGGAGATGTGGATCACTAGTCTATTCCTTTTTATACAGTATTATGTTCTACTTTGAAACAGAAGATTATTTTAATAACAGGTATTGCAGCAAAGTCTTTGTGCCTTTAAACAAGTGTTCCTCTGAAGGTTGGAGTATTACCTAATATATTACCAATATGTCAGGATGTCTTTAGGATATTTATAGAAGACTACACAGATAGACAGATCCCTTATACAGACAGTATAAGGAATTTCTAATTACACATTGTTAAAGGTTAAATAAGAGAAGTAATACTATTATTTGACAGGAGTTACATCAAAATAAAATAAGTCATGAATGTAGCAGTATGTCAAGGCTAATTAAAGCTGAGGGTAGTTACTCAGTGGAATGTACTTCCTGGGATAGCACAGACACTCACTGAATCTTTGCTGAAAGATAAATATACGCTTGGATGCTTTGTCGGTCATTTTCCTTTTTGCTCTCAGATCCATTTTCTGCTTGCTTTGTTCGGATTTGTTTTCACAGGGAAGTAGGTTACACAGGTTCCCTTGTAAATTGCTCCTGGTCAGGTTGGGTGAGGAGACACTAGGACACTCAAAGGCGGGAGAAGGAACTTCTCTCCTCTCTTGGTTGTCCTCGGGGCCATCTCCAGAGCAGTCACGGCTTCCCCCCAGCTCTGCTCCCTGCACTTTCACTGCTCAGCATGTAGTCTAGTCATGGACTGAATGGGCCAGGTATGGGCACGGAATTACACGTCATTCCACTTTCCCTTCAGCCTTAGGATATTCAGCAATTTTCGGCTGTTGCTAATCTCTGGCTGTCTCACTATCCCCGTGTGATTGCTCAGCTTTCCCATCCCTTGTGTACCCAGTTTCCCATATTAAATCCCTTTTATGAAAAAGACCCGTAGTGGCTTATTTTTTTCCTGATTGCATCCCGATTCAGATAATTTGATGAATAAGTGAAAAAATCCCAAATCTAAGGAAATGACAATGAAACGGCCTGGGCCTTCCGTTACCCGTCCCCCGCGGCACCTGATTAAGTCCAGGGGCTGGTGCTTGTACCACATGCCCCAGCGTGCCCAGCGCTCATACAGCAGGCGCCTGTTATTCTGAGGCCCGTGCGTTCTGCTGGGCTGGCTGCTCTTGTAGGCTCCCTGGAAGAGACACAACAACACACATCGATAGCCATTCTCTTACTGGAACTTGAACTACACAGGAATTGCTTTTGCTTTTTTTTTCCCCTTACAGAATAATTTAACAATTTACTGAGAGCTTCATTAATTATAAACTGAAGCTCATCTCTGGAGTGACAATGTCTTTACGTATCTCTCATTCACTGAAAATATTCTGATAGTTCCTTAAAAATACTTGCTTAAATTCTTATTTTTAAAAACGATGTGATTCCTTTCACTTAAAGTAAACTAGGCTTTACTGTTTGGAACCTAAGGTCTACTAATAAACGCAATAACTTTACCATCATTGAGAGGAGCTGGTGTCTGGCTTCCTGGGCTCAGAATGGTACCTTTGACACTTAACAGTTCTGTGCCTCAATGGCTTACTTATAAAATGAAGTTAATACCATTGTCTACTTCAAAGAGTTTCTGCACGGAGTGAATGTGATGATCCATTAAAACATTTAGCTCAGTGCCAAGTAGTAAGTGCTCAACACATTTTATCTGTTGTGAGTCCTGGGGTCCTGTGAATTCAAGTACAGGGATTATGTCCTGTGAGCACTCAGCCTTTATACATAGAAGAATGAACAGTTTGGGGGCTGTAGGTTTTATGTGGGTTTGTGTTTGATTTTCAGGTATTCCAAAGCAGTATGCACAAACCAGGAACCTGCCCTGTTTGGGAATGGTGCTGGAGTAGAGGGCAGCGGCCAGAGTGACTGAGCAAGGTCCATGCGTTCCCTCCAAAGCTGGGATCTCTGTTGGGCAAATTGCAGGAGGGTCTGGGAGCAGGGGAGCCAGTGTACAGTGACAGAAAATAATGGGGGTCTCAGGAAAGCCCAGGGCCAGCTGCTGATTGAACCCTTCTGGGAGAGAAAAGCCAAAGAAAACGGGGG